CGGTCTTGGTTGCCTATATGCTTCTGGCTGGTAGCCATAATTGGCAAAGAACGGTGAGACTTTCGTTGCTTCTGTCATCGCGCTGTTATATGCAAACTGTGCGATGGGTAAGATCTGAACCCAGTTATCCTGTTGATGATTGACATAGCTTCGCAGGTACTGTTCAAGGGTCTGATTTAATCTTTCTGTTTGGCCGTCTGTCTGGGGATGAAAAGCTGTTGATAGATTATGATTTGTCCCCAGTAGCGCCATCAATGATTTCCAGAATTTCGAAGTAAAGAGCTTGTCTCTATCTGAGATGATTTCTTCTGGCATCCCATGATCGGCTAATATGACTCGAATGAAGGTATATGCGAGCGCCTCGGCGTCGCTAGCTTCTAGATATGGTATAAACTTCCCATATTTCGTGAGTCTTTCCGTGATGACGAGGATAGAGTCGTATTCTATTCCTGTTAACGGGTCCTTGGAGGGTGGAAGCTTGACGATGAAGTCCAAAGCTATTGATTTCCACGCTCCTTTTGGTACTGGTGTCGACTTGAGTTGTCCGTATGGCAGATGCCTATTGGATTTTGACTTGCTGCAAATGTCGCACTCTCTTACCACTGTCTCTACCTGCTTCCTCATACCTGGGAAGTAGTAGTGTCGAGTGATTCGTTCGAAGGTTCGTGTTACTCCCTGATGACCGTGTGCTGGTAACGAGTGTTGTTCTTGCACCAGCGGGCGTCTCATTTGACTTGGGACATACACTAACCCTTTGTATCGAATCAATCCTTGTTCGTCGATGGTGAAGTCGCCTTCGACTTTGGACAAGACTCGCTTGGCGCATTCGTCTGTTGCGTAAGCTTTCTTGAGTCTTTCCTCGAGTTCTGTATCTTTGATGACTGAGATCGTCGCTTGTAAGGACACAGGGAATACGGCTCTCCGTAGGTGCATATGGGAGTGCGAGTCGGAGGTGATGCTGTATTCTATCCTATAGGTCTACTACGAAGGATACAAAAAAGATGAAGGTGTCACCCTGTATGGCTGTTCCCTTAAAATACCCGAAACTGCTCCGACTCAGCTAGCTCCCTGTTTGCCTAAGGCTTCCTTACGTTATGTGCCTAAGGCTGTCAGTCGCGACTGACCCGTAACGGCCCCGAGTCTCGATGGCGCCACGTGACGGCCGTAACTACCCCGAGTAAGGAGGCATCCTTACACTACCCCCCGCCTTGAGAAGGTGCTTTGTCCTCAAAGCACGCAAGCCGAGTAGCTGCCGCGACGAGCCCTTGTTTGGGTTGGTGGGTGAGGTGCGGGCGCCAAGACTAGAATGCCCTTTGTTTGTCCAGAAGGCTGATGGTGGGCGGCCGTATAGGCACTGGAAGTGGTCTGAATCCGTTTGCGCAAAGTCGCGTCTTTGTTGTGTGCGCGGCGATTAGTGTTGCGAGGGTCCGTATTGGTATCGAATAGGGTCCGCGCGGTATGTGTCGAGGGGGAAATTTCGCACTAACCCGATTCGGACGGCTTTGTTATAAGCCAGAATATGAATTCGAGCTTCGCCCAGAACTTGTTGTTTTCTTCACAACAACGACGCTGAGCCCCCCTCCCGAGACTGGTAAGTGGCCCTTCCGATGGTACAGCTGGATGCTAACAGGTTGTTTTTAGATACAAAAACACAACGAACGATTTGGTAGGTGACGGAACCGCGCTGGCGCGGTGGTGATAACTTGGGTTGGGCTGACGGGAAATCGCAGATTTCCAATTTGAAGATGCCGGTTCCCCCTCCTCCCGGCGCCCTCACTGTGGCTTTCCGCCAGCAGTGTATGCGCTGCGTGCGCGCCAAAGGGCGCAAGAAGGACGGAGATCCCGCCGTCTCGTGTGTGTGGAGCTTGGAAAGCTCCAAGTGTGAGCGCTGCGTGGCCCAACACGCAACGTGTGTTCCGGTGGGTTCTCGTTTGGTTTTTGGTTTTGTGGTTTGTCTGTCTGCCCGTCGCTGACCTCTGGAGATAGATCTCCTGGTTTGCTGGCCCGGAGTACCAGAAGCTCCTGGCTACCGAGGCAGCAACCCCTCCCGTCCCCGCCGCCATCAAGGCCGCTGCGGCGGAGATTGGGCGTGTGGTCACATTGGCCACCGCCAATATGCCGAAGTTCCGCTCCCCGGCCGAGCTTTCGGCCTATATGGAGAGTTGCGCCCTCCGCGCCGCCGTCGAGGACGGTCTGGAGGTAAGTTTTCCGTTTCCCTTGTGTGTTTTTGGTTCTCGCGCTGACGACCGTAGCGGGTCCGCCAGGCCGTGGCCGTCGTGGGCCAGAAATCGGCCCTGATCCTGGTGAACCAGGAGAAGGAGATCACTGCCCTTGATGGGGTGGCTTCTGCGGTGGATGCGGTGGGGGAGTTGGTGGAGAGGATCCCCGACGTCCTCGCCGCGGCGGCGAAGGTGGGCGGTGGTGGGGGGAAGAAGAGGAAGAGGGGGCGGAGGTGGAGGAGGAGGGGGTGACCGTCGACCTTGGGTGATAGGCCCTGTGTCGGAGGGAACTCGGGCGTGGTCTTTCGCGTGGGGTCACTTCGACCCTTCGTCTCTCATGGTGGTAGCCGCTTGTTGCGACGCCGGTGAGACGTTTGGGAAGGGTGGCTTCCGCAAGGGCTACGGCTCTGAGGGTGCCCTGGCTTAGAGGGTGTTTAGTTTAGTGTCGTAGGTAGCAACGACGCTGTTTTCCTCTGCTTTGCCGTGCCTCTCGTGATCGTAGCTTGGTTTGCCTGTCTCCCATTCCGTGATCCAGCCGGGTAGGTCCTGCGGCGGTCCTGGCAGGTTTGGGTACTCCGCGTGGAACTCCCGGATTTTGTAGGGGGAGTTCTTAAAGTTTGAGGCGGGGTACCATTCCGGGTCCGGATCGTATCCGACCCAGGATACCTGGTATTGAAGTTGTTTTCGCCGGATCCTTACGGCGAGGATCTTTTCGACCTCCCACTCCTCTAGGCCGTCTACGACTTCGCTGCTTGGCTCAGGCGCTGCTTGACCGGGCAGCGGGTTATTCGGAGCCTTGATGAGTACGTCTGGAGAGAAGACATCGTGTATTTGGGAACCCTTCGGTAGGTCTAGTCGGAAGGCGTGTCCGATTTGTTCCAGTACCGTATAGGGTCCGACCCATTGTTGCCCCAGCTTACGGCTAGGGCGGTGATTTTTCAGATTCTTGGTTGATAGGTAAACCTTGTCTCCTACGTCCCAGTCAATGGCTCGTCGGCGTCGATTCGCGTATTTAGACATATCCTCTTGTGCTTTGGCCATGTTCTCCTTTGCGTAAATCCATGCGGAGTGCATGCGGTTTGCTACTGCTTTGGCTTCCTTCTGGTTCATGACTTCCCTAGGGGTCGTGGCTTTCGGGGTTTCCCAGTCCCAACTGGTGCGCGGATCAGTTCCGTACTTGAGTCGGTAGGGGGTCATTCCGATCGAGGCATGGGGAAGGGTCATTTGCACCCGATCCATGATGGGAATGAGCTCGCTCCAGTTATCCTGGTAATGTGATACGAAGGGCCTCAGTCTCTGATCGATATACCTATTCATGATTTCCGTCTGCCCGTCGGTCTGCTTGTGATAGGCTGTCGACAGCTTAATCTTGACCCCTATGATTCGGCAGAACTCTCGCCAGAAAGCTGATATGAATTGGGGTCCGCGATCACTAATGATCGACTCTGGGGTGTGTCCGAATCGATATATCCATTCGATGAATAGCTGCGCCATTTGGCGGGCATCGGTGGTCTTATGACACGGTATGGACACCGAACCCTTACCGAGTCGGTCCATGAACACAAGGATGCTGTCGAATCCATGTTTATCCTTTGGGAATTCCTTAAAGTCCATCGTTAGGTGTTGCATGGGGTATTCGGGTACCGGTAGGGGGTGTAAGAAGCCTTGCTGCTTCGTCACGCTAGTGTGAGAAAGTCGGCACGTCACGCAGTTGCGCACATATCGGAGGCAATCCGCTTCCATTCCGACCCAATGATACTTCGGGGCGAGTAACTGATAAGTTTTCCTGCCACTAGGGTGGGCTACTGATACTTGATCGTGTGCTTCCCGTATGAGTTTCGTACATAACTCGGTGTGCCGGTTTACGCACAGTCGACCTTTGTATAGCAAGAGTTGGTCCTTCATTATAAACCCGTTAGGTAGGGGGTCTTTCACGCGAGTGTCGGTAAACGACCTCCTATTATCCGCGCAGAGCGCTTCTATCAGGTCAAAGGGGACCTGGGTGTTCGGGGCGTCCATCGCATTGATCAAGGCCACGTACGTTTGTGCTAATTCGGCACTGATTCGGGAGTGTAGTCGGGCTGGGCCTAACAGCACCCTCGCACGGCTGTCGAGTTTGACCTTCTGTTGCGTAATCAGGTCTTGCTCTCTTCGGCTCAGTATATCTGCCTTCTGATTGTTCTTGCCAGCAGTATACGCAATAGAGAAATTGAAGTCGGAGAGTAGCTCCATCCACCGAACCTGCTTCGCCGTGAGAACCTTCGTCGACATGAAGTATTCCAGCGATCGGTGATCTGTATAGACGTCGATTCGGTGGCGTACCGATGCTAATTCTGGCCTCCATTTATTGAGTCACTTTTGCCAAAGGAACGAACTTCTCTCTCCTCTCTCAAACGCCTCAGGCCCAAACTGAAATTTGTAGACGATTTCTCAGCCGTCATAGCACTCTATTTTGGTGCCAATGCAACACTCACAGCCCTTGTATGGGGCAGCATTCGGCTTATGCTAACCCACGCATCCTCGGCGACAGAGTCGCTCCAAGATGTCGTGGATATGCTCGAGGAGCTCAGCCTTACGCTTCCAAGACTCAAGGCCTACGAGAAGACTCTTCCGATGGATAGAGCTCTTGAAACCGCTTCACTAGATGTCTACACTGAAGTAATTTGCTTCTATGCTCGGTCGATACACTTTTTTCGGATGCATCCGCATGCCTTGCTGCAGCGCGGTGCTTGGAAGAAATTTTAGTTGGATTTTGGTAGGACAATTCGACGCATAAAAACGATGTCCTCTACAGTCGAGAGCGAAGCTGATATAGCGCGAATAAGAATTGAAGACGTCAAATATAAAGAAGTCCTAGAGCTGATGGATGACTTGAAGAAGAGCAAAATCCACGATGAGGATGCCATTCGATGCCATTATTTACCTTCCGAGCTTAACCCAAGATTCTGGGGTCGTGAATTAGCTTTACAGGCCATTGAGGCCGCCTTGAATCCTGATAATGGAACGAAATCCCTCCAGTCATTCGCTCTCTATGGAATGGGTGGTGTTGGCAAAACTCAAATTGCACTACAGTACGCAAATAGAAATCGTGAACGGTTCAACGTGATCTTGTGGGTTGCTGCAGATAGCACTATTAGTATTGGGCAGAGTTTCCTTGATATTGCAAGGCACTTAGGACTCGTTACTACTGATGAAGATATACCAGATTCTGTCACTGCGATCCTAAAGGTTAAAAGCTGGCTGGCCAAATCTCGTAAGTCGGATGTTCTATATATTAGTCTTGCATTTCAGTATCTATTTCCTCCATAGACAACTACAGTTACTGGGCAAGGAAGATGCTGATACTTGTAGATCTGACGAGGGAGACTTACCTTATAGATAGCTATGTCATAGCTAGACTTACGCTACATAGCCTAGTTATTAACTAGGCTAGCAAATGGCCCTATAAGCAAGCTAATTAAGCTATCTAGGGTATAGATGGCTTGTGTTACAGCTATCAGCAGAGCTATTAGACGAGTAGGTCACACCGTAGGACCCCACGACACCCTGTAGGATGGAACTGAAGAACTGTTAGAACTCATACACTTCCTATAGTTCCTTAGGGTGGAACTGCGGGAACTGTTAGAACTTGTATAATTCCTATACTTCCTTTACAGTTCCCTTTAGCACGACGCCACTATATAAGTAGATAGTTATTTTTTAGATAGGAGCTTCGTGCTCAACTCAATATAGTATTCTTTACAATACTATAACATGTTACTTAGAAAGCCTTTGTGTTTAATCCCCTGCCTCCTCTGTCAAGTCGACCTTACGCAAGAAACTTCTGTGTCTTCTATTGTTTAGAAGTCAGCGTTACACTTTAAGCACCACTTCTACGTGGTACCGGCTTACACACGAAGCAACATGGCTAGAGACAATATAGATCGAATGTTAGAACAAAGGGGAGGGAAGCCACTAAGACTACCATCGAAGCCACATAGGCTCACCCCTTTGACAAGCTTAAGATTGCATTCCCTAATACCTTTCATAGGGATCGCAAGAGGCTCAAGAGTTTTCTCATCTAGACAGCTATGGATGGCGTTTATTGCCAAACACTTCACCTAAGAAGTGGAACAGATCTATGGGCTGTGGCCCTCCTACAAAGACCAGCCTTAGAATGGCTCTCTAATTACCTCATTGACTTCATGAACCATCGAACGCTAGAAGAAAAATGCAGTACCTAAGCTAGCTAAGGAACGAAGGAGATTTTCGTGACCTAGAGTAAACTTTGGAGACATCAATGAACGACGAAATGCAGTCTTCTCTTAAGCAGAGAGGGTTAGCAGTTGCATACACTGCTGAGTTTCAACAGCATGCAACACTCACCAACTAGGAAGAAGAGGCTATCTGTGACCAGTTCTACGCAGGTCTAAAGGACCATGTAAAGGACAAAATCTAAAGGTCCGACAAACCGGATGACCTTAGGGAGATGATCGAATTGGCTTAGAAGATTGACAATCGTCACTATAAACAGCAACTCGACAAGAAAGGGGGACTACCTAACCAACACTGGACTTAGAAGAGAAGACAAACAAAGGGTTATTAGCCCTAACCTATGAAACTCGATGCTACTTTCAAGCCTAATGGCAAACCCCACAATCCTAACAAAGAGCGACAGCTAAAGGAACAGCTCTGGTTCAACCATAACAAGCCTAGACATATGGCGCGAAATTGCAAACAATCAAAGAAAGGGAACGGCAGACAAAAGTATGGCAAACAGCTCAATGCCACTTAGCAAGGTCAGGGTGGGTATGATGCCCCGCGAGGACAGCTATGCGCCATGTTAAAGGGAAAAGAGAACTAGAGTGTTACCACTTAGGATCTTGAGGAATTCTGCTCGTCGAACAGAGAAAACAAGAATGATGATAAGGAGCTTACTAGCTCTTAAAAGCACCGGTTACAAGCATTTGAGAAGAAAGCAAGTGAGACTCTCTTTAAGGAGCAGCTACTAGGAGACAGTTGATCAAGGCATTCCTATGCCAAAGCCACTAACGAGCTAGCAAGGCACTACACAAACTAGGAGGTTGTAGTCTGCACAATGAGGTGCCAACTAGAATACCCATACTAGCAGGAACCCTATAGAGTGAAATACACAGAAATGGAAGCCACAATCTGGCTAAAGTATAAAATTTGCGAATATAACGTCTAGAATGCTATTGCAGAATGGAGAATCTTCGACATATACCACCCTAACAAAGACATCTATAATGCTTGATAAAAAACAGCCTGTTAGCCATGTTGCTTTGTGTGTAAGCCGGTAGCTTGTAGAAGTTGTGCTTAAAGTGTAACACTGACTTCTAAACAATAGAAGACTCAGAGGTTTCTTATGTAAGGTTGACTTAACAGAGGAGGTAGGGGATTAAACACAAAGGCTTTCTAAGTAACACGTTACAGTATTGTAAAGAATACTATATTGAGTTGAGCATGAAGCTCCTATCTAAGGGAATACTATCTACTTATATAGTAGCGTCGTGCCTCATGGATAATCTGGATAGTTGATAGATAGCTAGATAATCTAGATAGTTGATGGATAGCTCAACTATCTAATATCCACTAGTTTCTCCAACTATCCACTAGCCTGGTCATGCTACAGCCTAGCCCCGCTAGCCTTGTGACTTCTTAGGTCATGTTACTAAGCCTAGCCCCACTAGCCTTGTGACTTCTTAGGTCACATTACTAAGCCTAGCCCTACTAGCCCTATAACTGACGTCACATTACCATAGCCATAACAAGAGAGAGAAAGAATGAGATTAAAAGGCTTACCTGTCATGACACTCCTTTGATATTTGTGTCATGACCCTTCAATTCACTTTAGTCTCTAGTACTTATTTCACTATGTCATTCACTTCACCTGCTTCGCTCACTTCGCTCACTTCACTTCACTTGCTGACCTAGATCAGCCCAAATGTTGACTACTGGCTTAGACTCTCTTGTTATTGGCTCGCTTCACTAGGGCTCGCTTAGCTAGGGTTCGGTTAATTAGTGCCTTCACTTATTTGGCACTAGGGATTTTTACTGTTATATAAGCACTTATTGCTCATGTCTCCTATTGATCATTCTTAGCAAATTATATACTACTTGGCCTTCTTGCAAATCATCCTGCTTCGACTTACTTTGCATCCCCTTACTTCGAGTCGAACCACTTAGCCAACCTGTTAGTCTCACCACTTGACCTCTGTGGTATAAAGTATATGCTTTGGAGCCTGAACTACTATACCTTGTCCTACTGCTTCGAGTATCGAAGTCTTCACATTATACTTCGCTTCTGGAGACTTGAAGGTCAGCCTCGGTTCGAACTGTCCTTACATTACCTAAGCAAAAGAGTTTATCCTAATTAAGCTCTTTACTCTAATCCCTAATCTGGAGCTAGAAGTAGAAGTAGAGGTAGAGGTAGAGGTAGAGGTAGAGGTAGAGGTAGAGGTAGAGGTAGAGGTAGAGGTAGAGGTAGAGGTAGAGGTAGAGGTAGAGGTAGAGGTAGAGGTAGAGGTAGAGGTAGAGGTAGAGGTAGAGGTAGAGGTAGAGGTAGAGGTAGAGGTAGAGGTAGAGGTAGAGGTAGAGGTAGAGGTAGAGGTAGAGGTAGAGGTAGAGGTAGAGGTAGAGGTAGAGGTAGAGGTAGAGGTAGAGGTAGAGGTAGAGGTAGAGGTAGAGGTAGAGGTAGAGGTAGAGGTAGAGGTAGAGGCAAAAAGTAATGGGCATGGAGAATTAGATAGTAATGAGTCGGAAGTTCTGTTTATATTAAATTGAATAAAGTACCTTATACTATATATTACTATACATAAATACTTGCTTTGATTTAAAGTGGTAGGTTTAGCGTGGCAAGACATCTTGCTTCCTACAAGACAACTTGCTTATTCCGACTAGGAGCGAAGTGACTAGGCGGATCTGACGATTATAATTGCTTTCAAAAATCAACACTTCTTACAACTCCAATCACTCTTCCAACCTCAATACACTGACAGGCCTTTCACAACTATACAAACAAGTTATTTAAACTTGCAATATACATGATTCAATGGCTATTTCAAACTTTTTAAATCCTATTGACAAGCAAATCGACAATATAGAAGTTACAACAGAGGAGGAGGGTATACTACAGGAGATTTTAGATGAGCATCTTAATGATCCTGCTTAAAATTATGAGCAAGAAGAGGAGCCTAAGACTAAAGAGGCAGTTTATTCAGCCTTTAATGCTCGCAATGAGTTTTGATTGAGTATACGGAGTGTTAGGATGCTCTCTAAGCCAATCACCTCTAGGCATTAGAGCCAGTGTATTAGATAGTATTATACGCCTATATACGGGTTCATTTTCGTAATGTAAGGACACAGGGCACCCAGCTCACAGTAATAGCATATGAGAGTGCGAGTCGGAGGCTAAACGGATGCTATCCTATAGGTCTACTACGAAGGATACAAAAAAGATGATGAGGAACCCCGTTGGGTCAATCCCCTTAAGTACCTGAAACGGGTCCGACTCGGCTAACCTGCCCTAACTCTCCCGACATGACCATAACCTGCCCGACTCCGATGCTTTCCATCACTGAGGGCTTTGGCATCCTTACACGTAACCAGTGTGTATATGATACAGGTTCAACTTAATATGCACTAGGACTAGTTAATATGATACAGAGCCTGTATACTGGCCATATACGGGCCATATTAACCACATGATATTAACCATGTGACACAATGAAAAATGATCTGAAGTATATAACTTACTTTAATAAGGACTTGTAGAGTAAGTCAGAGGTTAGCACCTCACTGACTTTTCAGAAACAAAGAATAACAAGATCAATGCTTGGAAGCTTGGAAAAGACGTAGAAGTATGTGCTAGTCGATTTACTGTATTGTCTGCTTGCCCTTTCCTTATATAGGAGGTCCAAGATCAGAGTACCCCTATAGACAAATTATGTCATAACTTAACCAATCTTGTGGGTAACTAAGGAGCGATGATGTGTAATGAATCATAGAGGGTTGTAGAAGCTTCTAGAGCTATCGTTCATGTTCCTAGGCCTCTAGTTGGTAGAGATATGCCATGTGGTAGTATTGGCCCACCCTCTTAAGGAGGAGATTTTTTTAATAACTTGTTCAATGAGTGCCCAAATGATATGCTGTGATGTATGCAGCATAAACAGATGTAGTAGAAAATTTTGCAGCAATCGTTGAGTAGTATTGCTCTTGTTGTTGGTGTGATAAGCCAAGATATGTATGGTGACTTGTAGGTTTGAGGAGGAGATTTCTAAGTTTGCTCTTGAGTTTGATAGCAAACTGAG